GTTTGGGGGGGGGAGAGAGTGGGGGGAGAACCTTAAAATTTCAGAAAGTGATTTATCGTGCATTTACTTCCCTCTTCTTCACCAAGTTTTCTTTTTAGGATTTTGCGAGGGCATCAAGAGCCAGAACTAATCATGGAGGCTCGAGATGATCTAGCAAGCGCATAGATAGAAATGATCGTGTGGTGGTTGAACACACTACTAAGATTCTACAGTTCCAACTGAAGAGAGCGTCAGTCGTAGTGGTTGAGTCAGTAGGAAAAATGTGAATTGGATAAGTAACTTAAATCGCACTCAAGTGGAAAATGACTTAAAATGAAATGAATAGGTAGCAACGCATTGAAATCAAGCTCTTGTGGGAAATGCAAATCGTAGGAATGGAGTTATGAGTAGCATTACGGCAACGGTGATTAAACATTAATTTCTCGGTCATACATTTCCAAGATTAAAGTGCAGTAAGCTTCAGAATCGTAAAAGACTCTATTTTTTTGCACCTTTTCCTATTTAGAAAAAAAATACATTTTTGTTACTCAAAGCTCCATTAGCCACGTATCAACTTAACCACCTAGTAGTGTGTGAGGCCAAGGACATGAGACACACTAGTTTTTAGTGAGATTCACCTGTGCAAATCATGTCCTAAAAATATGAAAGAGAGAGAGAGAGAGTTCCAAACTAAGAGGCTACCCTGGGGGAGGAGGGGGGGTGGGGGTAGGAGAGAGGAAAGCGAGAGGCAGCCCGTTAAAAAGGATGGACTTTAACCCTCACTCACTCACCCCCCCCCCACCCCCCACCCCCCACCCCCCACCCCACACACCTCCATCCCCACTCCTTTATTTCTTGTGCTTTGGTGAATTTGCACATGTGACTAGAATGCGCTTTTACTTCTTCTTTCAACTCTCTGCATCACGTTGTACTCTAATTCGCGAGCGTTAATGACTGAAAATCGGATTATGCAGTCCCCTGAGCGCTGATCTCAATTTATCTCACGCTGAAGTTGACAATCTGATGGGATGAATATAATTGCCCCAATTTAATCGTATTTATGCTTAGTTTTTGGACTTTTTAACAGGTTGAATGAAAGTTTGATGTATTTCATCGGGAAAAGATTTCCCAAAATGGGAGGCTGAACGGAGTCAAAATCAAGTTTTGCAAAACTTCCATTTGAAATCAGCGATTTGTCGATAATCTCACTTGAAATGGCGCATAATTTATGTTGATCAAATGTGTGGTCTTTCTCCTTTGACACTTAGGATCACGGATGAACCTGAGTTCACTAATATTCAGGGCTTATTAACTCGTCAGTTTATTTCCTTAAGGTGGCCATGCCAGTGTAAGATGCTATTGGACTGGCTGAGCGACACTCGCTGAATAATTTTATTCTTTGGCCCAATCCAAATTATGCCACGAATAATATTGTCGTAAAAATCAAAGAATTTCATCTTAAAGCGGAAGCGTACCCCATATATATTAACTGTTTAGATAAAACTCACATCCTTGCCGGAGAAGTCCTGGTTGGCTCCTCCGACGAGTGGGGGGAGGGGGGGGGAAGGGGGTTCAAGGAGCAAAGGAAGTTAAAAAGACTACACTTGGTCTTAGAAAGTGAACTATCTCATATTATATGAAGCAATATCCACCCTCTACAAATCGTTGGGTGAAAATCATCCGATTTTCTTGCCCATATTCTTCAAAGCCTGCTGAGGCTTGTCTCAATCTGGGAAGAGAAATTTTTGAGCCATTGAACTTCAGGGCATGAGAATTAAAGTAATATTTTGCCACTAACAGTATTAGGAGACTGTTTTATATTATCTCTCATATGTATCATTTGCAAAGAGTGCTTAATAGGTAAACTGCTATTTGTCCACTTTTCCATTCAATATGACTATGATCAAAGCGAATTTCTAAATTTCAAAATGTGGAGACCCATTCGTTTATGCTGCTATTTTACAGATATTTTGTTGGATTATTATTAGCTATAATTGCATTTGCCATCGTGTTCTCGATAAGCATTCATCTGATATTCGCATAAATGTGTGCGTGTGTAAGTGAGTGTGAGTGTGAGTGGATATCCCAACGGGATATCCACTCAATTGAGAGAGTAGATCGAATTACCCTCTGCTTAGCTATTAGCAGTAGTTACTGGATTTCAAATGAAAATATCAAATGCTGTAATCTCATAGGAGTTGGAATTTCATCCATTTTACTGAAGGCAAAAAAATTAACCGACGTTTGTTTAGAGTCAAGGTCAACATTGATGGACACCATTTGCAACCACTTATTCGAGGTTTCCTGCTTGAAGCTCATCAAATTCACTCAAAATCAAAATTCTTCATGTTGGGTGCGACAGCTTTATGCAAAGAAGAAGATATTATTCGAGCAAAAGCTTTTATCACTTTTTGCTGCCACGCTACTTGCACTCTTGTATATAATTATGCACGATTCAAGAGGGCTTAACGAAAGTAAGGGAAGTTGCTTCCATGATTATCACCTTCAAAACTAAAAATTGCAGAAAAGATACTTGCAAAGCCTCACAGGGGTCCCTTCACGGAGCTAGAAGTCCTGAGCTATGCACCTTAGTGCCACTTTCGTATCCTTGAAAGATCTTTAAGTAAATGATTGCAAAGACAGTGAATTCCGTCAAACAAAGATGAAAGCAGAAAAACTCAATGCGGAAATATCGATTTAGGAAAAAAAGGAGACCTGGTTTACTACACTTAGCTATCACCACTTCCATTCCAAATGTATTCACTGGAGGAGGTCTTGTGTTATCGGCATGTGAATGCTTATACGATTTGACAGACTCCACAGTACGTTCTCTTCTCTGCCTTTTCAATAAAATATCTTTCTAATACAGAGCCTTTGACATGAGTCGCTCGGTTCGTTATCGTAATAATGACCAAATATTATGGACCAAAATGCTAATCGATGCAAATGTGAAAACATATATAAGCACGTGACACCTTTGCTTAACTTAGACACAATTCTTCGAAATGTGCTTCTATGAGGGGTCGCATGTATCATACAAACAACTCCTCCATTTCGGTGAGAGGGAAGAAATAGAGACGAAAATTGATAAGCTGCTTGTTAACTGCCTCAGTCCTAGTAGGTTCTCATCTTCAGAGTCGAGGGTCGGGGGATTCCATGCCTCCCGAGAAGGGAATGGAATGGCTAAAGCATTGGCTAGGTTTGGCTAATGCCAAGGATGCTAGAAACATGGTTCCCCTCTTGAGGGAGTTCCACGATGTCGCCTCTCTATTCAAGGTGGGTGCTGGAAAATGGCCCCTAAATGGGACGGGAAGTCATTTTCACTATTCAGAAAATTTCCCTGAGTATAATGCGCAAGTCAAATCTCTCAAAATGATAAGACCGAAAACTCTCTCTCTCTATCTCATTGTTCGGGTGAACAATGAAATCAAAATTAAACGAGAGCTGTGAAGAACAGACAAGAGAAATTAAATGTGCCAATTCAATTAACATTTAAATTTATTAAAAAAATAGATTATTGATGATAACTTTTTGGAGTGAGGGGATGAATTTTGGGTAAAATGTGTAATTCATGGAAGAATTGCAGGACAAAAGGTTATAGAGGTCGATCTCCTAATAAGGTTCAATTTTGATTTAAATAAAATGTGGGTAGACTGCCAGAGAAGTGAAGAACTGACTCATCTGTTTGAGAAAAGGTCTAACTTTGTGCTTCAATATTAGTTAGAGGTGAAATCTTCTGTACTCCCCATAGCTAATCATAAACTTCAATTATCATATAACTGAGCATTTATCAACTAAAATATTGAGAGGCATTCTACCGAGGGAAAGTCGCAGATCACACCTCTCATGCCATGGATTATCGATTCAAGAGGAATTCAGACGCACAGGCGTTTAGGCGATAGAAGTTGTGGAGGAGGCGTCATCAGGACAATGTTTGACCAGCGGCGTATAGGAAAAGTACTTAATTATTAAGAAAAGTCGTCGTTTGAACCCAAGGTCTCCTCTTCTCCCCCCCCCCCCATTTTTGGGTCTAAATAGCTGGAGCATTCATGGAGAACAATTGAGAAGTTGCGCAAAAGTTTCGACTTGAATTCGTGTTGTTTATAAGCAAATAAGGCAGATAATGAGATAAAATTTTGTAGAATCGAGCATGTGAGGTGTGAAAAAGATTTAGCTGGCAAGACAACCAGAGCACAAAGGACTGACAATTTAGCGTAAACTGACAAGTCACAAATACTTTGCGTAAATAAATAGAAATATTATGCAGTTACTGTGAGATTTGGAAGAGCTACTGTTCATTAGACTGTGACAGTTTGAAATTGCCGAATTAACACCAACACACACACACACATTGGACTTGAAGTTGTCCCAAAGTTAATTGACAACTTCATTGCTAAGTAACAGAAATAATGAGAACCTTACCAGATTTTCTTTGTTTGATTATACAGAAACTAGGTATTTCATATAATTACGATTCGTATTACAGTAGGTAGGGTGTTGCTCAACACAATATCTCAATGATTGATGGCGAGCATCTCCCGAAGAGGGGATATATGTGGCCTTTAAATTAGTAATTACAAAAAATATGGCTTCAGTTCAGTATAGGCTTTAAAATGAGCATAAAAGCCCATATTTAGATGACAAAGTGAACATCCCAATGAATGAAAACTCATATACATAAACCACGAGAAGCTATAAATTTAATGCTCAAATAAATGCGAATAAAACGTAGTTCTTAGTTAAATAATCTGAATTGATATGGAAGGAGGGGTCAAAAGTCTTATTACCATAGAGATCTCCCTTTACCCCCGACCCCTTCATCTCTCTGATACAACACCTTAAGAAACACAACCAAAGTTAGAATAAAATACAAAATTGTGGGCAATTTTAATATGGAAGAGACGTCACTTATCCGCCCCACTAGTGAGGAAGGATTTATTAGGTGAACCTAGTAAACAAGTTTTTCCCTACCACCACCACCACCACCATAGTCCCTCTTCCCAAATGAAAAGGCTCCTGACTTCCGCTATCAGTGTCTCGGTAAATAAAATTAGAGTTCTCCATTATCTCTAGAAGCTGCTAATCTGAAATCTATGGATGGGTAATGATCCAACTAAACCCGAGTCAGCAACATTTTCCGCTCAACTGGAACCCCAAGCAGGAGAAAACTTAGGCGTAACTGTGGAGATCTATTTAATAAGGATCAAAAGGAGACTCTGTGTAGGAATGTCTACCTTCCTTGTTTTTAACTCATAAACAAATTGGGTGCGTGATATATCAGGAAGTGCAGCAAAGAATGCCCAATGAAAGATTTGGGGCAAGTTGTCCTCCCTCCCCCCCCCTCCCCCCCACCTCCAAAAAGGCTTAGCAACATCCGCTAAGATTCATTTTAAAACTTTGTAACCGGGATGATGCATTTTTCATACGAAAAAACCTATTTGTCTTACCCACAAAATCTGGCCAAAGAGGCTTGCATTTGTGCATAGATGTCAAATAATATTGCTCGCTTGAAGTCTCTATATCTAACAAATTATTCAAAAAGCTATAGAACGGACTAAAACTCTTTATAGACCAAACGACACTGCCTCATTTATAATGTCATTCTCAGAAAAAAAACAAATTTAGAGTCCTCATTCCCAGACAAATGCATGATCGATGTGCCTAGAAGGGTCACTGACATCATTTGGAAAACCGGAACTCAATTCTCCTCTGAAATGAAGCAAATACTCTTCTAAGGCATTCGGTGCATACTGAACAATGGGTTTGGCTATGGTGGCCACTAGTCCAATGAGCAAACGGTGTTGCGAGATACTCAACCGCTTAAAATTTAAATATAGCAGAAGAAGAGGAGTTCAGCTTGAGCTTTTATCCAACCAACGATTCTATTGAGTATGCTCTCAACGAAGTGTGCTTCGTCTATTAGCCCGCGCGCACAGATTTCATGACCATTTATTGCTATCTTGAAAGTGAAAATTATTGGAGGACAAAGTCGAAATTTACAAAAAAAAGAGGAACAGTACGTGGTATTTCTGGTCAAGTACACGCGTGGCAACTCACGCATACATTAAAACAACTTAACTACGTATATATAGCACTCCTGCTATCAAGGGCAAATTACACTGCTAAAGTAGATCAGTGAGTGAGAGGTGATAAGTGCATGTGTATGGATGGTAAGGAAACGTGCAGATTAAGTCTGCCGTGTGTGGAGGGGAGAAATGGTCTACTTTTACAAAACCAAAGCAACCTGCAACTGAGCAACCTGCGACGTGGGAGACTATATCTACTCTGGTTCATTCTGAACGACAATAGAGACACTTTTCCTATGCCCAAATCAAACTTCGTGAACGAGTTCCATAGCAGGTTTCATTAAGTTCGGTGTGCATCTGTGCTGAAGTGGTTAGTTATTGGAAAAGTGATGATTGTCATAGCATAGCCAGTGAGGTTCAATCGAGGTGTTTAACCTAGGAAAAAACAAGGAAGATATCAGACATACTTAAACTTCACATCTGAATAGCTCCATGGCACTTCTCCTTCATTTCAGCCAATGCAGCCAAAACCCCCCTTTAAAGAACTTGAACCATTCCTTGTTAGGTCTTACTCTCTCCTTAGCGGGAGATAATCGATCAGTCAACAGAGCTTTCGATCTCAAAATCGAATTTCATTGATTCGCACTTTATTGTTTATCATTTATTAAGAATCACTGGGGTGTGCGATACACTTACCTACACACGTTGCACCCTGAGCAACGTATACTCACACGGCGAAGCAGTCTATTAATCGGCAGTTGACTTCTGACTTCAAACTACCATGTCTCCACTGTTTGTCATATTTCACCACTTTCACAGTACTCATCTTACCTTTACTCTGCCTTTGTGTCTGCCTGACCCTTTCACATCTGTTAATCAATATTCTGTTCCCCTCCCCTCTCTACTATTTTCAATTTGATGTTCCTTCCCCTCTGTGAAGCCCAAAGTCAGCTAAAGGCCATTTGAAATAAATAAATAAATATAGAAATGACCACTTTTCTTCGGATATAAATGCATTTATTAAATTATCATGCAGTTACTTTGGATTTGTCTAAAGAAAATTGCATTTAATTCGAATTAGTGCAAGGGATATGCAGATCGTGATCGTTGAAATAAAAATAAACTCCCTCCTTTTTCTTAAAGAAAGTACAAAGTAAGCCTGAACGGCTAAAACGACCACTGAAATGTAAACGAATGGAAATGAAGCACAAAACCAAACTTGAACACACAAAAGCTAAACAAAAGACACTGGATGGAAATTGCCTGTTTATATAAAGGAGCGCGGATTTTCACTTCCTAAACATCTTAAATAACAGAAATAACCACAAAGACTGAATACGAACGCGTTAAAATGGGCCTGGAGCGAGGATTGCAAATTAAGGAAAATTATTGGAATCCCTCTACAATTCATCTCTACTATGCAAAATACTCTCATAGCAGCTTTCGAGAGAATAGCCACGTGGCCTTATTTAAACATTGCAGCAAATTGACTGGTTGTGGAATAACCAATCTCCCGTCAGCCTTACCCTATGAAGGCATCTACAGTTTGGAGGTTATTTCGAACTTAATTTGCTATCAGGCCATGGAGAATACCTTGTACTCCTCTATAATGCCTTGAATTAATTCTATTCTCTCTTAGAACTCTCCCCCCCCCCCCCCACCCCCTCCCATTCCAATCAAAGTGGATTGAAACTCTGGTGATTATCAGTGAACAGGTATATTATAGGAGCAGAACTAGACCGCCTAGCAGTTCTTCAGCATAGCTGTTCGCACTTTATAATAATGTGGACAATTTTTCCAATGACAAAAATAACGGAGTTATTCAACAGATTTACGAGGCATTCATAGCAAAAGTTAAGAGAAGAGAGTATGCCCAAATGTTGTTCCATATCAGATGAGTTTGCAGAACCTTTCCTGTCATTAAGTTAAAAATATACTTAGAGTTGACTGGATGTGCAAAAAAATCAGATATCTTTTTTATAACTTTTTTTACTAAAATAATAAAAAGAAACATAACGTAAGCTTTTTTGAACTCTATTCCTAAGCGCGAATAAAATAGGAGTTTCAAAAACTGCTTATTTCGAGTTGATCTGAGTAAGTAGGCGCTTCTGGAATTACCTATAAAATTCGTACACCAGAAGGAATCATTTTACACTGTGTTAGTGGGTTGAGATTTTATAAGGATTTATTTTTCGGTAACCAGGGTGGTTTCACCTTCAAAATGAAATGAGTCGAACGCTGGGATTGGGTTAGAAATGTTCCTCTAAATATGCTATAAGGTGACATGAAAGCTGCGTTGAGCAAATTGCAAATATGCAGATTTCTCAATGCGATCTAAGCAGTGGCAGGTGCAATCCAACCACAGCACGCACATTGACACGAATATTGCTCAATTAGGAGAAGGTATATGGAAATTTATCCATC